GATCAAGTAGCTTGACGATGGACCACATAGAAAAGAAAACCCATAGTGGTAATCCCGGTAATACACCGCCTGACAAGAATGCTTCTCGCGCTGAACGCGATGGATGCTCGCAAAGAAGAGACAAGTGAGTTTTAAGAGTTAAGTCATTTATTGATCTTGTACACCGATGCACCTATATTGTCGATTGCTATGCGAAATGAGGTGGTTGCCTCCTTATGGCGGTGAGAGCTGGGGCTAGGGTTGCGCGCTACGCTCTCGAAGAGCTTGGTCAATGCGGCGCATCATCCTGCTCGCGAGATGGTCATCAAGTCGTGGGATCCTGGCCTATGCAACACAAGACGACAAGAGAAAAGCTGCAATTGACGTTAGTCGATTTGTCGATTAGGCCCTAAAAGCCGCTAATCTACGCGATAGCGGCGCGGCTCTCGGGGCAGTGAGCACCGGCGCTGCGACGGACGGCACAGCTAGCGGTTGCCGATGGTCTTGATCGCCGGAAGCTCGTCGTCGCCAACGTGCAGGACGTCGTCAAGGTGCGCGGACGCGACGCGCTGCCAGCCCCTTGTATCGTAGCCGCAAATTCGATTTTGGTTGCACGACGGTCGACCGGCTACGGATTATCGAAGTTTCGATTTGGCACCGGTCGAATGACGTGGCACGCTCCTGGGTCCAAGCTGCAGTTCCAGCGTCGCTGGCCGGAGCCTTCGCCGACGCCCACCTTGGTCCACCTACCCAAGTGTGTCATCACAACACAATGTTGGAGATCCTACTATTTGCCTAGTAACTAGCAATGCGAGGCCATCTTCAAGCCAAGAGCTGCTACCCGAGGTGGATATTGCACAGAAGAATGTATTCTTTCCAAGTGGTTTTGTTACCAGGAATCATGTAGACAAGGTGTAATTGAGCCCGCGTGGCGATCTCGATTGGTCCCACAAAGAGGGTGCGCGCTGTGTGAGCGCAATGCGGCCCACTGTAGGGACATTCCGATATTTGAGGGACCGCGATGTTCATCGCTCTAAGATCAACGAGAACAGACCCGATAAGATAGGATAGTATCGCGTCGTGCTTTGAAATCTTCGCCCACAAACAATCACAACTTGAAGTTGTCGGCGATGCCAAGTTCATGAAATAGTGTATGCCCTGATCCCAGGTATGCCGAGGTTCACTGCAATCACGAGAGGAGTTCGCTCAACTCACGGGTTCGGTTGGCATCTAACGTTTCTGTTGTTTGTTCATAGGCAAGAAGGGCCGTCGGCATCTTCCCGTGTCGCGTGGTAGCCCTACAAAAGTGGTGTACTAACTCTATTTACTTTGCAATGTGATTGAATAGTGTGTCGTGGAGGCTGGATGCTGGAAGGCTCGCACAACCCAATCAGCCAGCTACCATGCAGCGCCTGAACCGCATCCAAGGCCACCTCCAGACGCCATCGCCGACCGAAGTCGTCGTCGTCGCGGCCACGCGCACGCCCATCGCCAAGGCCAAGCGCGGCGCCTTCAAGGACACGACGCCGGACGTCTTGCTGCGCCAGGTAGACATGCACGTGCGTGCATGGCCATGGCCTCAGCGCGCACGCTAGGTGTTTGAAGGGGTCTTGAAGCAGACCAAGGTAGACCCCAAGATCATTGGCGACATCGTCGTCGGTACGTGGCTTGCTCAGATCGCTGCGTTCACGAACGTCGCACATTGGCTAGGTAACGTGCTCCAGCCCGGCTCGGCGGCCGTCGGCGCCCGCATGGGCCAGCTCTGCGCGGG